AAGCAGCCTGATCACATTTCATCTGTAAACAGGAAGCGGGGAGGTAAAGGGAGCCAAGTTCCATAACCTTTCCCACAGTGCCACCAGGTGGGGAGCATGTGTTCAAACATATGGCCCTATGCCAGGCATTTCAAATCTGAAACAAGAGACTGAGTTCGAACTGCCCGCTGCATCCTCTCCATAACCAGCAAGCTATTTTAAAGGCGCTGATTGGGCACAGGTGTCATTCCAGCACTGGTGGGTAGGGATAGAAAGGTCAGAAGTTCGGGGTCATTCTTGACTGTATAGTAAGTTGGAGTCCAGCCTGGCTACATGAGATCTGTCCCTCTCTTTCTCCCCACACCAAATACACAAAAGGCAGACGCTGTAAACGGTAAAGACAGGCCTTGCATAACGATCACTAGACAGAGGGGGGAAAAAAAAAGGAACCATCAAGAGAGTTATGAATGATGAAATCCAGACAAGAGCAATTTTTCCATAGTTCAGGTGTTAAAAAAATATAGACTAGGGTCTGGAGAGATGGCTCAGTGGTTAAGAACACTCACTGCTCTTGCAGAGAACCTGAGTCTAGCTCCCAGCACCCACATGACTGTTCCTAGCCTCTTCCAAGTCGGGTTCCCAGAGTCGACACCTTCTTTTGGCCTCTGTGGGTACTTGCACTGATATATGCACATAGCCCTCCAGATATTCATAATTAAGAACAAACGATAGGTATTTAAAAATATACCATAAAGTATATAAATGAAGCAAAAGCTATGGGAACATCTATATTGGGAGGAGGGAGCTCGGGGTCACCTTCATACAGGATGTAGCGACAAGATTGATGGGGTCAGAGGCAAGGCTTGACATCCTGTTATTAAATCTGATAATGAGCAACGTGATTGGCATTTTCCTCCCCATTCCTGTTGTATCAAGTCTTCAAACCCTCGTATGAGCCTCTCACGCATGCACTTCTGTAATGTCTGTTTTGCAGGTTGGGAAACTGAGGCACAGAGACATCATAGAAGTAATCTGAGGTCACACAGCTGGGGCAGAAGCTGGAATGCCCAGCCAGGCTGTAGATAGCTGGGAACTGATGCACACACTGCCTCAGGCCCTTCTTGTCCTCTCCAAGTAACAGGCAGAAGAGCCCAAGGATGTGCTGCAGATGCCAAGGACACAGCCCAGGTCCAGGCTGGCTGTACGTTCCTCACAGGCTCGGTCTCACCTCCAACTTTGCCTCTTAGCCAGGAAAGGCGCACAGGCATGGCCAAGTGGGCAAGGCAGCTCACCAATAAAAGCTGGTCTATGAAAACAGGCAGAGGCTGTGGTGAGCCAGCCTGAACAATGAATACGGCTGCTGGTGAAGAGGATTCTGGATGGGTGTGGATGAGGCCACAGTACTGAGCTGTTTAAGGGCCAGCAAGCCAGATGGCTCAAGAGTAGACACTTGTTGAGAAGGCCTGAAGACCTGAGTTTGACCCACGGAACCCATGTAAATACGGAAGGAATCAACTCCAAACGGTAGTCTTTGACCTCCACACCCATGCCTCACGTACCCCGCCTCATGCACACAAAATGAAATGGACATTCAGGGGGGAAATGGTTTATTTATAATTTTAACCTAGAAAATAAAAGAAAACATAAGAGTAACCATCAAAAGAATAAAAAAAAAATTCAAGTAAATTGAGGTGGGGAAACAGCTCAGTTTGAACAAAGGCAAGAAAAGATGGAACTGCATCGGAATCACAAGTACTGTAGACAAAAGACACATTCTAGAGATTACAGGGGATGCACGTAAGGGAAATCCTCCCAGTGAAAGACAAGCTGGAAACCCAGCCATCACGGCTGCAGGAGAAACAGCCGAGTGGCACACGGGAAGCTTCCCGAGGAGAAGAAAGTGAAGTGCTGGCATTCAATCCTCCAGACCCACATAGTGGAAGGGGAAACCGATCCCTACAAACGGTCCTCTGATCTTCACATGCGTGACATAACCCCCCCCACCCCCGACACTACACAGATAAAATGTGATGTAAAAATTGTAAGAAACTGCTTTGTTTTTATTATTTTATTTTTATGTGTGTGCGTTTGCTTACATGTTTACCTGTGTACCACGTGTGTGCCTGATGCCTGTGGAAGCCAGAAGAGGGTATCAGATCTCCTGGAACTGGAGTTACAGATGGTTATAAGCTGCCATGTGGGTGCTGGGAATTGAACTCCTGTCCTCTGGAAGAACAGAACAGCTAGTGCCCTTAACCACTGAGCAACCTCTCCAGCTCTATATTTTATCTATATTTTAAAGGAACAGATCCCACAGTGAGTTCTGGCTAGGATAAGGTCACCGTGTAACTGTGTGTAGTGGGCTGATTCTGTGTGTGTATCTAAATATAAAACTGCAGGGGTAAGGAACTCACACACCTAAAATAAAAATTAATAAGTCACATATAATTGCATATGTTTATGAAACTAAATTTGTAGTTTATGGCTTTTTTCCCCATGGAGGGTGTTTGAGGAAAACATCATTTTTTAAAAGATTTTATTTTACTTTATGTGCATGGGTGTTTTGTCTTTGTGTATGTGCATCACATGTGAGCTGTTACATGAGTGCTGGGAATTAAGCCTGGGTCTTTTGGAAGAGCAGTCAATGCTCTTAACTGCTGAGCCATCTCCAGTCCCTTATGGTGAAATTTATGTTCATGTGCTAATCTTAAATCGGTGAGATAAATTAAACCTTGGTAGCATGTCAGGAATTTGACAAGTCTCTAGTGCACAAATTTCACACTCCTTTTAGTAACTATCTGGAAGATCAAGAGAATGAAGAAAGCAAAGATCTGAGGGGCCTTCACTGAACTCACAGGCAGCTATGGACACTGTCATTCTGCAGCTAGGGACAGGCATAGCCCTCCAGTGTATCTGGCCTATTTTAAAATTCTTAATTGGCCTAAGTGATGGGGGATGCCCTTCTGTATGCTGTGAATATATTTTTCTCTTATTGGTTGACAAATAAATGCTGATTGGCCAGTAGCCAGGTAGGAAGTACAGGCAGGACCACCAGATGAGGAGAATTCTGGGAGGAGAAAAGGAGAGGAGGAGTCAGGAGGGAGACACCATGTAGCTACCGGGAAGATAGGATGTTTGGCGTTCTCCAGTAAGCCAAGATCATGTGGAGATACATAGATTAATAGAAATAGGTTAACGATTAAGAGAGAGCTAGCTAGTAAGAAGCCCGAGCAATTGGCTAAACAGTTTATAATTAATATATAGCCTCTGTGTGTTTATTTGGGACCGGGCAGGACAGAAATTCCATCTACACCTAAGGCTAGTATAATGGCTAGCATTGTCAACTCGATTGGATCCAGATGCATGTGTGAGACAAGGGCTTCTTGTGAGTGCTCGTGGAGAACCGCCTTGACTAAGGTGTGAATGGCTGCCCACTGTGGGTGGGACCATTCCCTAGGAAGGTATCTCAGGACTGTGGGTTGGCTGTGGGGAGACGATGAATACTTGCTCTCTTACCTTGCATTTCTCAGTTTTTTTTTTTTTAAATCACAACAGAAACATTCCAAAGAAGGCTAACCTCAGGCAAGTGCCAGATTCCCACCAGACCACCTCCAACTCTCCAATTGGGTTTCTGACAACTGTGCAACTGACCCAGAGGTCAGTAAAAATTCACAGTGGTAACATAAGGGCATATGGGTATTGAAACTAAAGAGCAAAAAGTTACTCACACATCAGAAATAATAATAACAAAAATCCTCCAAACAGAAACAAGAAAATATTTAAAAATGGATACTAAAAAAAGCCACCCGTCTGCCCAGTCCTGACTGAAGTCCTGAGCTGAAGCCCAGCGGCCCAGGAGGCCTAGAGATGGAGGAAGCAAAGATTGGGAGCCCCTAGAGGAGCCAAGGGGACCTTGGCTGTCCCAGAGGTCATACTACTTGAAGAGTGAATGGAGAGCCAGTCAGGGAGAAGACAGACAGACAGAAGAGGACACCCCCCCCCCCCTTCTACCGCAGGGCTGCCAGTGGGACCAGGAGGCCTGTTCTCTGGAGGCCTCAAAATTGTGTGTTTTGGGACCAACGAACCTCAAAGTCCCCGGGGCCTCGGGCTCTGCTGGGCACAGGAGCCCTGAAATTCCTGCCCTTTGAGTTGGCAACACTTGTCAATCAACCCTTGCAGGAGGACCTAGGCATCAGAGACCACAGTGGCCACTGCGTGGAAGTCACATTGTACATGGACTCTTGAAGGCAGCCCTGGGTGAGGTAGAACCCACTTGTGTTTTCCAGCTGGCCCTCCCTCATCAGGAGTTCCCTGAGGGAGCATTCAGGCTCTGGTGCCCCAGTGAGCCTGAGCCAGGTGAGCCTGAGCTAGGAGTGGAGCAGTGGACCTTCCTTCTTCCATACGTTTACCCCCACCCCGCCCCCAGCTCAAAAGGGATGAAGGGCTTTGAGGATGCGTGGTTGAGGGGTGTCTAGGTGCCCCATCATCCAAAGGGAGCACCCTAGTCCTGCATGAGGTCCTTTAGGAAGAGGTCAGCGTGTGTAAAGCAGTTCCTGAGACATCCAAAGGACAGCCCTAGCCACTCCTCCACCTCCGTGGGTCCTCAAGCTAGCCCCTTCCCTCAGACTTGCAATAAGCAAGAGCCTGCACCAGAGGCCAGCAGGCCATCATGACTGGCACCAGGAGAGATAGCTCAAGGGCTCGGGCTCTTGCTGCTGGGCCACCTGGGGACTGCAGCAGCCACTCTGCCAGGGCTGGCCCGGTGGGGCGGGGGACCTGTCTGCAGCATCCTTGAGTCCTGCTGAGGCAGAGGGGGCGGAGGCAGAGCCTGCCAGCAACTGCTGCGCCAGCAAGCCAGGGCAGAGCTTTCTGGATGGGGGACGCTGGGTCCATGCAGGTCAGTGTCCCTTTTGTGGTACCTCTGGAGTCAGCAGCATCCCCTGGGAGGGGGCAGGGGGCATGCAAAGCCCCGGGCGGGGGTGGGTAGGGAGAAGGTAAGGGGGCAGGGTGTCCTTACTCACCTCTGCTGTAGAGGACACCCAGGGCCACTAGGGCTCCCAGCAGCAGAAGCAGCAGCAGCAGCAGCCCCCCCTCCAGGAAGCCTGAGAGCTTCTTTCTAGACCGGTCTGCTTTCTCCACCATCCCCACTGGGCTCTCCGACTTCCCCATCAGCAGGTTCTGGGTGGAAAGCACACAGCTGAGCACCCCAGGCCAGGGACAGGAGAGGCAGCTGGAGCTTGAATGCCCTGACCACAGTGGAAATGGTGCTTTGGGGATGCTGTGTCCTGGTCTCCGCCCGCCCTTAAAGCTGCAAACTGTGCCCTGAGTGCCCTGGTCTTGGGGTCCGTAGGGGTCTCTGAGTGCCCAGGGAACCCCTGTGTAGAAGGGAGACCTGGCCATGAGGTCATGATGGCCATTGCTTCTCCAAGTTAGTTTCTCTCTTGTTCCATTGTCTGACATGGCAGGGACTACCTTGTCCTGGGGCTACTCTGCTCAGGGTCTGGGGTCTGCATGCTGGACCCAGGAGGCTCAGCCTGGATATCCACTGGCCTCTGCAGGGGAGCCTGCTTGGGTTGCCTGTGCCCAAGAGTTCCTGGAGTTATGGACCTGGAAGCCGGATGAGGGATGCTGCTGGGAAGGTGGCTCGGGCCCTGAGCTCTGGACTGTCCTTACACTGTTGCTGTTGCAATCTGGAGTTTCAGGGGTGGTGGGGGCTGGAAGGGCGAGAGTGTGCATGTGGGAACCAAGCAGGGCAAGGGAGAATCAGCTGCTTGAGTCCTCTCCCCATTATCTGTCGGGGTGTGAGCAGATCGGGTCATCACCTTCACCTTGTCACTATGGGGAAGGCGTTTTCCTGAGCCACAACGGGGTGGGCAGATGTGGAGGACACATAAGGTTGGGGGCAGGTTGCTGCTGGGACCAGGACAGGAAGCTGGGTAGGGATGGCTGCAGGACAGGCACAGATGGCTGACAAGGTGGGGTGCTCCTATGAGCCTCAATTCTGCCTCCAGTCCATGGGGACCTTGGTGCCTCCGTTTATACATCATCTTCCAAATGGCCCAGGCTGGCAGCCTGGCATGGCTGTCTCTGACAGGCACGCTGCAGAGTGGGCTGGGCCCTGGGCCCTACTCCCCGCTTCGTGGCTGTCAGTCAATTGTCCCCTTTCTGTCTCTTGGAGCTCACAAACCCAGCACCTCTGGTTGCTCAGACAATGTGTTCCTGCTATCATCTCAGGACACTGTGGGCCTGACACTTCACACTGTGCCCTCCTCCCTACCCCTTCCCCCATCTCCTCGAGTCACTTTGTCAGGATGCCCATCCCCAGGTCCTTAACTAAGGGGAAAATGAAGCCTGAAAGATGGCGCCTCTCCCGACCCGGCTTTCAAGTTCAACGGAGCAACCTTAGCCTGTTCCTGTTCTGAGCTGTCCTAACACACAGTGCTACAACCCCAAATGCTCTTATTCATGTCATACTCATGAGAATACCAGCTCCCCCAGGGCTGGGGCTCCTGTGTCTTCGTGTGGGGCATCCACAGCACCAGTTGAAAAAGCGAGTGAATAAGTAAATGAAGGACAAGCCTGGGGCTGGGCCTGGCCTTTACAGCTGGTGTTCTAGCAACCTGTTCTGACTCCGAATGTGTCAGCTAATTCTCATCTGCCTCCTGCTGGCCCACATCATTCTGTCCTGCAAATGTCACGTCCTGCTAACAAGGCACACACAATAAAACACACACAGCCAGGTGGCGTGGGGCAGGTCTGTGCTGGGCAAGAGGGAAAGGAGTCAGTGTGGCCCTGAAGTTGGCTTTCATCTCCCTGGAGATGTTCCAGGAGACCTTCTGGGTTGCCATGATGAGGGGCTGGGAGCCTTTCAGGTAGGAAAGGGATCAAAGGAGCTACCCAACTAAGTGTAGGTGGTAGAATGCTGAAACACTCGGTGCCCCCAAGTGAAATGTCAGGGTTCTCAGAGGGTGTGCCATGACAAAGCTTAGGTGTCAAGCGTGTTGTGCATGCCTGGAATCCTAGCACCTGGGAGGCTGAGACAGGAGGATTGCTGTGTACTCAAGGCCAGCCTGGGCTACAGAGCGAGTCCACCCCAAACAAAACAAAACAAAACAAAAGACCCAAACCCAAACAACAAAACAAGATACCACCCAGTGAAGCAGGCGGGCGGAGCCCTCTCGGTGAGCCTTACCTAGTGATCACAGGAGCCGCAGCCACCACAGGGCAGGTCCTTAAAGGCTGGGTTAGGATGTCTCAGAGCTGGGGTGAGATGGCCACCGTGGGTGGAGCAGAGCAGCGGTCAGGCCGATCTGGCTGTGAGGTCACACGGTGCTGGCTTCTGACTCACCTTTATGATGGCTTGAGCTCCTTGGAGATGGGACATACTCAGGCATTCCATGGCTTTAGAGTGGGGGAGGGGTAGGTGTGCTTTCTGGGTTAGGGACCCGGCTGAGGGGGTGTTCTGATCCCCCAAGCCTTATCTCCCCCTCATTTCTGTCTCGACTCTAGTGCAAAGGGAACCAGGCGCTACTCAGAAGGAAACCCGATTGATGCTTATTTGGCCTGAGGTGTTGGTAGGGTTTCAACTGCAGGCTGATACGAGTGGCCCCTCCTCTGGCATTCTTCCTTGTAGTCTCTGGGTAGGGGTGAGGAAGGACTTGCTGGCATAAGGGAGGCCCTGCCCATGGTGATGGACTGGCATGGGATTACAAAGGATTCTCACTCAAGATGATAACGACAGGCTGGACTGCTTTCCAGGGCCCATGAGGAAATTGAAATTCAGACTCCAACCCAGAGCCAGAAAGGGAGCCTGGATAGGGACCTGGAAGAGGGCTTTGGGCTTAGGGGCTGTCTTCCAGATCTTCAAATATGAGCTAGGAATACGTTCAAAGAAAGTGGTAGGGCTCTAAGTGCTGACCAGGCCTGACACGGATAAATGCTCCTGGCCTCCAAGGGCATCTGGACAGGGCTGGACTGCAGAGGCAGGGTCCCATGAAAACAATCTCCTAATGGGGCTGTTGGAAACGTTGGGTTTGTGCTCTGATGCTTCAGAGGGTGGCCCATGTCCTCGGGAGAGGGCAGTCCTCACCTGCAGCTCAGAGCTGGGCTGGGACCTTAGGTCCATTGCTTGGAATTTTGGGAGGAATTAGTGGTTGTTTTTCTTTTTGGTATGCACAAGTGCCTAGCAGAAGCAACTTAAGGAAGGATTTAACTTGGAGCAGTTTGAAGGTTCAGTGCATCACGGCAGGGAAGGTTCGGCGGCAGGAGCAAGAGGCCTCTGGCCTCCCTGCATCTGCAATCAGGAAACAGAATGATGAACGCCATTGCTCAGCTTATGTTTTCCTTTTCATTCAGTCCAGGGCCCCGGCTGGCTCATGGGATGGCACCACCCACATCCAGGGTGGCTCTTCCCTCTTTAGTCGAACCTTTTTGGAAATACTCTTGTGAAACATACCCAGGGGTACCTCTGGGTGATTCCAAATCCCTGCAACTTGATGCTGATTAACGAACACAGATGGATCCTGTCATGAAAACGAGTGTAAGGCCAATGCCAAGAAGGTGTGATCAAGCCTCACCTGCCAGGGGCTGCGTAGGGTGAGTAGGAAGCTAGTCTCCTGAGCAAAGAGGGGGGCATTTGGCTGATCCGATGGATGCCTCAGAACATGGCAGTGTGTCATTCACGAGGGGTTTACCCCAGTTTCGCTAAGAACTGCCTAACAACCAATAGCTCTCCAGATGAACCGGTGTTATGGGAATCTCTGGTATGACTTCTGCCTTCTTTATGGATGTTTCCTACTATATAGGCAGGAAGAGTGACTGTTCAGTTAGCCCCAGGGGCTTCTTGCCTGTGGCTTCTCCAGAATTGAGATTACAGGTGTGTGGCGCTTTGGCCTGGCGTTTTATCTCCCCAGTTCTGGGGGGATTGAACCCAGGTCCTTGTGCTTGTAAAATAAGCACTTTTCTGAGCTGTCTGCTGATGTGGGATGTCCTTCTGTGTGCTACGAATATGTGTTGCTTTTATTGATTGATAATTAAAGCTGATGTGACCAGTGGCCAGGCAGAATGTAGGCAGGCAGGAAATCCAAACAGAGAAAAAGAAGGCAAGGCCAGGAAAACACCATGCAGCTGCCAAAGCTGTAAGATGCTGGAGTATTACTGGTAAGCCACAGCCTCGTGGCAATACACAGACTAACAGAAATGGGTTAATTTATGAGAGCTAGCCAGTGACATGTCTGAGCTACTGGCCAAACAATTCTAATATTAGCCTCTGAGTGATTATTTCATAAGCAGTTGCAGGGATCCTGGTCCAGTGGAACCGGTGAGACAGAGAAAAACACTCAACTGTAATCTGTGCAGCCCCCTTTACTGAGTTCTTATGAGAAGATTAGACATCAAACAGGAATGGGCGAAGGTGAGAACTCAAGGAACTCAACCTTTCAAACCTTTCAAGTGTCGATCCCCGCCCCCCAAAGAAGGGACATATGGGGACACTAGCCTTTCTCATTTGAAAACCTCATGGTAAGTCAGTGCTGAACGGCCTGGCTTTAGACCCTTAGCAGGTCGGGTTTTAGGAGCCCCTGAATGTGACTGAAGACCAAGCTGCCCCCTTGAGGCTGTGGTTCACACACTGTGAGGGGGCAGAGTCTAGGGCGGTAGCCAACTGGATTGGGGTGGCTCTGTGCACACAGCTCCTGATGGGAATTCTGTTTAGATCACACTCTGCTTAAGGTGACTCATGGCTTGCTGGGTTCAGTGAAAGCTGGACCCCAGGGTCCACAATAAACCAGAGACTCTGGAACCACACAAGGGCTGGACACCTGCTCTCGGGGCACAAGGCTTGGGTTCTTTCCCCTCCAGCCAAGCATGGAGGAAGGAGCTGGGAGATCGTGGGTAGGAGTTTGAGAACTGCAAGGAAGTTGATGGATCTGCAGAGTGTAAGCTCCAGGGTGTGGGGGCAGTAATCCTGTAGGCATAGACCCCAGCTAGGGTGCACGCACAGCTACTAGAAGCCTCCACCAAGTCTTCTCTTCTGATATAGCCTGGGGCTGTTTCATGAGACCCGATGTAAGGGCTGAGGGGCTTGGCCAGCTAAGACTCACCTCCCTCTTCGGGGACCAGGGCAGAGTGGCGGTGAGGAGGAGACACTATATCTCTGTTCACTCAGCTGCTATGACAGAAATATTGCAGACTGGGGGCCTTACCCAGTGAGCTTTATTTTTCATGGCTACGCAAGTCAAAGGCTTGGAACACCGGCAGGCATGTGGGGGCAGGCCGGCCTCCTGGTTTGTAGATGGCATCTTCCCACTCTGTCCTCACACGTGGGTGGGCTGAAGTGTCTTTAAAACGCCAGTAATTCCATTCTTTAAGGCTCAGATCTAATTCTTCCCCACATGAAAGGCTCCACACCAATGGAAGTGGGATCTGAACTCATGAATTCTTGGGATACATTCAGACCACAGCAAGGTGCCAGATAAGCAATGAAGTGTGTGTGTGTGTGTGTGTGTGTGTGTGTGTGTGTGTGGAATGAGACCCTGTGGAATGAGCCATGAGGTGCTGGGCGATGCCCCCTTGTGGCTGGAAATGGAGAGGGCTTTGCCAGATTTCAGTTCCTTCGTGCTCAGAATGACAAGGACTGGGATGTCCTGGAGTGGATGAATGTGATTAGATACCTCAGGTTGAAGGAGAGCAAGAAAAAAAGGCACAGGGTGAGGAGGGCACCCCCAGGTGACAACTACCTGCCACTCCACCTTCCCGCTGAGCCACCGTCAGCCAGCAGGATTCAGTGGCCTTGACTCTGGTCCTGCTGGGTGTTGGCAAGTGTCCACGGTGCCAAGGAATACAAGGTGGAGAGGTGTGTGGTGGGTGCAGGGGTCACATGAGAGGCGCATAGGCTGTCTTAGAGACTGCAGTGGGAAAGGAAGGCAGGAACCAGGCTGTGCCTCAGGGAGCCTCTCTAGGCTCCCTCCTCTTCCTGGGCCTCTGTGGAATGCCCTGACCCCCTGGGGCACAGCTTGCCTGGTCTCTACACATAGTAGCATGGAGGAGGGCTCTCACCACAGAGGGATGACAAGGCAGGGGGCAGGATCACAGGAAGGCGGCTGCTAAGCCCATCCATCCAATCGCTTCATTGCTGCTTGGGGATGGGAACTGTGTATCTGAGTCTGTCTAGGAGGTGAGGCAGTGGGTTTCTCTGGGGCTAGGAGGGAGGGGCAGTGAGGGCAAGGGGAAGTGCTCAAAATCCAGACACGCCGCCCTCACCCTCACGGGAGAACCCGGGAAGGGGTGTGTGTGCCACTTCGTGCCAAGCAGCCCTGTCCATTGTAATGAATGAATGAAACACTGCAGCCTGGCCGCTGTGACCGCTTTGATGATGGCGGCAGTGATGGCTGGAGCCCCATGCCAGGGAGCAAGACTGGATGGGGAGTTTGCCCCGAAAGGAAATTGCTGTTGAAGCTCAGACGCACCAAATCACACGCTGACAGTTTGGACAGGGCCAGACCAAGTGGAAGCCTGTGGTCTCTCCCCGCTTTTGAGGATCCCGGGACCTGGACCTGTGGAGGGAAGGGGCTGCCTGGGCTGTGCATGTAGTTCCCTGGTGAGTGACTTTGCAAAGCCAGTTCCACACGGGCGTCCAAGAATACGGACCTTGGGGAAGGCTGATGCAGAAGGCAGCCCAGGCCCAGTCTAAGCAAGCAGCTTTCTTCCCAGGGAGGGTTCTCTGGGGCGGCACGTCTCCCCCAAGACCCTGAGGTACCAGCCCTGGTCTTGCCCTGTGGTTGCTCCAAGGCCAGGTGTGGGCAGAGTTGAGGTTGCCTCTTCAGTGGGCCGTGAGCCGCCCAGGATAGCTGTTCTGCGTAAGCCTTCCAGAAGTGTCTTCTTTAGCCCTATAGCAAAGGACAGGGAAGGGTGGCCAGTGGAGAGGGCAGCTCTTGGATCTGGGGAGTCAAGTGACCCTGGATGAGAAGTTAGGCTGCTGGTCAGTGTAGTCTGCAGCCAGAGGACACCTCCTTTCGAGTCCTCGCCTTCAGCCTCTTCAGCCCACTGTGGCTGGGCTCCATCAGGAGGCCATTCTGGGCTGCCGTCCAGGCCTCTTCATAGTGCTGCTCCTCTAGACAGCGCTGCCCATGGGCCAGGAACACACTGGCTGTGGGGGCCCGGCCTGGCTGCTTTGACAGGCTGCTTTGAGCTTGGGCTGGTGACAGGGCCAAGGCCCGGGTGAAGGCCCCTGCAGCTCCATCCTTATCGCCCAGGCTCAGAAGCAGGCGACCCCGGGAGCAGAAATCCTCTGTCCGCCTTGGCAGGTCACTGTCCTCTGCACCCTCCTGCAGCACACGGTCCAGGTCCCCGAGTGCCCGGTCATACTCCTGCAGCTGGGTCAGGCAGGCGGTTCGGAGACGCAAGAGATAAGGACTGTTGCCTCCAGCCAGGATGGCCAAGGAACAGTAGCCCAGGGCCCGCCCCTGCTGTCCTAAATCCAAGAGGTTGCTTGCTTCCTTGACAGCGGCCTGCACAGGGGACACAGAGAAGGAGCACAATTAGCCTCTCTGCAGTCAGCCTCTGCTGGTGTCCGATCCCCTCCCTGTGCAGAAGACCCACCCATTCCTGGGAGCCTGGTCATGGGTAAGGATGCCTCCAGGCCCCTAGATAGATGACTCCTTGTGACTGAGGGCTGCAGCTGGCTTAGTATGTCTGCCTCCCCTTGGTCCCAGGCCTCTGCAGTTACCGCTACAGGGGGCAAACACCGCATGCCAGTTGGTTAGACCAGATGTTTCTGGTAGAAGGGCCGAAGGGTCCCCGGGTCTATAGGGATAGGGAACCGGCTTTCCCGCATGGAGTGCAGTGCTATCTCTCTGCATTAGATTGAAGGGCTCTAGGCTCTGAGGCTCACATGAGGGCGTCTGCTATTATTATTCTCTTCTGTGTGATATGATAGAGCTTCTAGCCATCCCTGCTGAGCTGCCTACTCCTTGTGGCTGCCGGGCACAGCTTGAAGGGACTCAAACACCACTGAAGAAAAGAACATCCAAGTTCTGCAGAATCCATGCTCCGCCCTGCTTGCGGAGCGGAGCTGACTGAGTAGGCGCAGGCGCAGTATAGCAGGCCTGCTTTTGACCGGCGGGACCAGTACGGGGGCAGGAAGCTAGGAGAGGCTACTTCCGGGTTGGTGCCTGTTGCTGGGCAACCGAATGCTGATTGCCTAACCCAGACTCTGGGGCTAAGACCTCTAGGCCTTGGAGTCTCCCCCGTGTTTTCCCAATTCTCCCTTTTCAAGCTCCGGGACCTCCCCAGACCTCCATCTCAAGTTCCCATTCCCTGCTCCAGCTCCAGGAACCCCGTAGCAGCCCTCCCCCCCCCCCCCGTTCCTGGAAATCAGGAATCCTTAATCTTCCTTTAGCTTGGGGATCGTGATTCCCTTTCTGACCTTATTAGAGCTTCAGAATCCCATTCCCCAGCCCCCTCCAGTTCTGGGACTCCTATCTGGCACTCAGGACCTCAGAGACATCTCTGGCCCCACCCAGACCTAGGACTCCCCAGGCCCCGACCCTGTGTAAGCTTGGGGACTTGAGCCTACCTTCCTGGGTGCCCTGACTGTAGGGTAAAAGGGCCAGCTAGGAAAACACACCCTGGCCCTGAAACCATAGCCAAAGGCCGTGAAAGAGGCACACTTTGGCCCTGAAACCAGAGTCAAGAAACACACTCTGACCCTGACCAACTCAGTACAAAAACCAACCAATCCCTGAGCATGAAATCCGGCCAATCTCTGAGTTGATCCAAGCTCAGGGATTGAAATCCCACCAATTCCCACCCTGAAAATCTCTACCTGGAAAATCTCTGCCCCCCCCCCCCAAGCCTTATATAAGCCCCGTGTCTGTGCAGTTCACTGCTGCCCCTTTCCACCCAGGCAGAGGCAGCTGCCCCCCTGGATTCGTCCCTCCCAATAAATCTATTGAATGAGGTTTGGGTGAGACCTTCTTTTGCAGGAATGGGCAGAACGCAGAAGTAACATCTTTCAGAGGAGCAGAGCAGAATTTTAACACTTTCACTGGGGAAAACTTCCCCTAGGGGTCAAAATCGTTACACTCCAGGGAGAACTGAGCAGAACTGTAACAATTTCACTGGGGAAACCCTCCTCTGCAGCAGCAGAGTTGTTACATTGGGGAAACCTTTCCCTGGAGCAGGGCTGTAAGCTGCTATGCTTATGGTGACTTCACAGTACTCCTCGGTTCACGACTGCCAGGATCCCATTCTATCTGAGCTGCAAGGTTTACACTGACCTCTTTCTCTTAGCTCACAGGCCAGATCCCAGGCCCTCCCTGCCCTGAGGCTTTAGTCCCTTAGAACTCTATACTATAGAATACTATTCTATAGACTCTCTGGACTCCAGCCTGGCTGCTCCTCTCAGTTTAAGCCCAGCCAGCCCATCACAGTCCTTGTCCCCTTTCTTCTGGCAGCACGTCCCTTGCTTAAGAAGCCTTCAACACTGTTCAGCCATTCCTGCTGTTTCAGCCACTCTGATATGCCCTTTTCCATGTCACTCAACTGGCAGAATTTAGAGTAATGGAGAAACGGAGGCAGGAGAGACACTTGTTTTGCTCTTGACGCTATGTCCCTCTGACTCCAAGGCATAAAGCCTGAACTTGTACACTTTTCCTCTTGGTATTCACAGCCTGAGCTGGGTCCTGGGGTGGGGCTTGTATCAGAGTAAGGGGGGGTGTTCCCAGAAATCTTCCCTGGCCAGATCTGGGGTTTTTTATTCCTCCCCACTCCAAACCTAAGGAAGCCAGATAGCAAGCAAGAAGGGAAGAGCTGCCTGGGGTGGATGTGGAGTTCTGAGACTTGTGGTCCTGGGACAAGGTCGGCATGGGGGTTGTGGGGTGCTGCATACCTGGGTAAGACTCTGCCGCTCTGGGGACTCAAGGAGATGAAGCAGAAAGCTGAGGTCCTGAGTGTCTGTCTCTGCCAGGCATTGCAAGTCATGGATAGCACTGGACACATCTCCCTTTTTAAGCTGGAGCAAGCCTCGCCGGGCTTGGGCAGCCTCTGATGATGGGGTGAGCTGTAGGGCTTCTTGCAAGTGGATGCCAGCCTCCTGGTACTTGCCTGTAGGGAGCAGGGGAGGATGGTCAGTGTGTGTGTGTGTGTGTGTGTGTGTGTGAGAGAGAGAGAGAGAGAGAGATTGAGAGAGAGAGAGAGAGAGAGAGAGAGAGAGAGAGAGAGAGGCCCAGGAAGGAGGACATCTAGCTCTAGGGAGCTACTTTGGTGTTTCTTACTCTGTCTTGGTTTGGGTCCAGTTAATGGGTGCAGGCTCAGCCTCAGTAGAAGCAGAGCTGTGGGGCAGCCCCCTGAAGTCATTGGAAGGTAAATGCAGATTACAGAGAGCTTCCTTTCAAACAAGGGTGACCAGGAAACCCACATGGCACATGTGGGTGCACAAGCCTTTGGGTCTGCCTCTGTCAGCACAGGGGTGTGATTTGAAAAACCGGAGGGCAAAGCCAGGTGGTGGCGGCATATGCCTTTAATTCCAGTAATAGGGAGGCAGAGGAAGGTGGATTTCTAAGTTTGAGGCCAGCTTGGTCTACAGAGCCAGTTCCATGACCGCCAAGGCAACACAGAGAAACTCTGTCTTAAAAAACAAAACAAGACAAACAAACAAAAAGCCAGAGAGTTGTCATCCCACAGGCCCTACAGGGATTGGAAATAGCAGGATCTGGAAACTTAGAAGCCATAGTCCAGGGACTCTTTCTCCACTGAAAATAACAAGAGGGTCAGGAATGTGGGACAGAGGCCCATGTCCTCTGCTCTTGCACACATACCCAGCACTGTGAGGATGTCTGTGAGAAGCAGGCGCCAACTGGGCTGTGCAGCATTGATTCCAATCAGTGCCTCCCCCACAGCAAGGAGGCTCTGGGTGTCCTCCTCCCCGATGGGGCCTCCAGAGTCCAGCCACTGTTTCAGGAGGACCTGGCAGCGGGTACAGAGGCCACGTGTGAGGGGTGACTGGACTTCTGGCATCAGGGAGCGGATCTCAGAAATCACAGTGCCTGGGTCAAGCTTCAGGGCAGAGACCATGTCATCTACAGCTTCCTGCAAAGGGAGGAGAGAACTTGAGAAGAGACTGGAAGGGTGGGAGCCTCGGAGGGTCTGTCCCACCCAGCTTCCACCTTCCCTACTTTGACTATCCTGGCCTACCTACCACCTGCATAGATTTATTTACCACCCACTAGTTGCCCCCAAGGACTTGCACACCTATCCATGCAGACTGAGGCAGGAGAGCATGGAAGGCAGGATTAGCCAAAGGTGGACCTGTGGGAACGTGGCTCTTGTTCTCTGTAAGTGCTTGTGGGCAGAAGAATACCCAGTTATGATGTGCACCCTGACGGCTGGAAGGCCAGACCTTGCTCACTCTCCTTTAGCAGAGGAGGAAGGGTAGCACCCTGGTCACCCTCACTCCTGTTTGCCCAGCCCCGGGTGGAGAGCATGGGCTGGCACCTGAGTCTGGTCCAGGGCCAGATGCACGAAGGCTCGTCCACACAGAGCTTGCACATTCCTTGGTTCCTCCCGAAGCATGGAGTTGAAGTCAAACATGGCCGTCTTCTTCTGACCCAGGAGTCCATAACAGCGGGCTCGGGTGAGGAGGGACTCACTGGCCTGACTCCCTGAAGGAAGTAAATGCGGTCAAGACACAGCTTTGGCTAGGGCTCTTGTTCAGGGTCCCATCTAGTGTCCATCCTGGGTGGGCACAGGGACACAAGGTCCACCCTGGGGGGCTAACATTCTACTGGGTACCAAGACAGGCTGCAGTGGCTACTGGCCACAGTGCAGAAGCCCAGCCAGGGGGGATGGTGCCTGGGAGGATTAGTGGATGGTTGAGGTGTTCTAGGATGGTCTATGCCACTGTTTTGGGGATAGGCAGGGCTTGAGTAGTAGAATAAGTTCCTTATGCCAGTGTAGAGAAGGGAGGCATGTGGTAGGTAGGCTGGAAGGCTCAAAGGTGGGTAGCAATTCCCAGTGAATTCTGGGAGGTGGAGCCCTTCCCCCAACAGAATGCGTCCAACACACTCCTATGCGTATCTGTCTATTGTCCCACACTGGGAACCACATGCTTAATCCACTTTGGGCTCGGACAATTTCCTGCCACTGGTAACCTGCTGGACTCAGTACACCAATCACTCTCTCCCAACTCCCATGGGCTCTCTGCACACTCTTCCAGGAGCAAGCGATGGGGAGGCGCCAGTACAAGCTGCCGAGAAGCCAGCACAATCCGAATGAAGGTCTACACTGCTCTCAGCCCTGTGCTGACAAGCTCCAGGGACTGATGCTTGCACCATGGCAACCTGAGCACTGCATCCCAGCGCCCCCTCAGGGCAGGCCTGCTGCAACCCAGATGAGATGGCTTAGCTGGGTGTGGAGGCCAGGAGTGGTCACACAAAACCTGTCAGTGCTGTGAAGGGCTCAGGGGAACACACAGGGGAGGGCAGTCCACGAGCAGGGCAGGGTCCCAGCTAGCCCAGGCCCTTCTCAAGCCTTGGCATGTTCACTGGACAGCCAGGGTCCAACACTTAGGTGAGCTTGGTAAATGGTCCCAACTTGGCCGCACTGTGGAGGCTCTGGGGCGTAGGGCTGTGCAGAACAAGCTTGTCCTCAGATTCCATGTCCCCCATGCATCTGGCGCAGGATTGGGACCCCTGGGGCTGCTGGGGTTCCCACCTGTGGCAAAGATGGCCAAAGAGAGGTAGGCGATGGCTTCCCTGGTGTGGGCCTCACCGACTGGCCCACCTGGCCGTGCCCGCAGTATGCTTAATGCCCGTGTGTGGCAGTGGCCTTGCAGCAGCTTCAGGTCCTCGTGGTGGAAGATGTCAAGGGTGTGCTGGAGACAGGCAATGTCCCCAGACTGAACCACCTTCTTCACCAGCTGTGGGAACAAGAGTGCAGTCGCCACTGTCCTCCCTGTTGGTCCTCTTCTTTCTGCCCACACCCTTCCCAGCACCTGCTGCCCTTAGGAGGCCCTGGCTCTGTCTCCGTAAGTCTGGGGTGCGGGAAAGCTGTCTGTTTTGAGCCCTGGAAGCTTTCTATGAATTGCAGCCCCAGCCACTTAAGCCCTTGAAGGTATGTTTGTCCTCCATTTACTGTGCCTCCTCCAAAGAGGACGGGTACATGGGGAGTGAGGAAGAATCAGAATGGCAGGGTGGGGTGGGGCTCTCCTTTCCCTGAGTCTTGGTGTCCTCCTTTGTCATGTGGGTGGAGACCCCACTCCAACATGCTAACCCAAAGAAGGCCTCAACAAGTTTGAGCAGGGGACAGCTCAGAACAGCAAGTTACGGGGACTCTGGGGAGCTCTCATAAGGTGTGGACCAGAAGCCAAGAATCTGGGGCTGGGTGGTGGTGGCGCATGCCTTTAGTCCCTGTGCTCAGGAGGCAGAGGCAGGAGGATCTCTGTGAGTTCAAGCCAGCCTGGTCTACAGAGCTATACAGAGAAAGCCTGTCTCAAAAAACAAAAACAAACGAAAAAACCAAACCAAAACAAAAGCCAAGAATCTGACCTGGCTCTAGCCAGGGTGAATGTCTCAGGCAGAGACAAGCTCCTCCCTCCATCTTGGGAGACACAACCCTGCTCCCCATGGGCCTGGTGCTGACTCCTGTCCCTGACAGAGAAGGATTGGTTAGTTCCAGGTTTCTGCCCAGGGGATCAGGGTTCCAGCCAGACCAGAGGAAGAAGTGGGTTTGTCCCTCAACCCAGACTCTGAGGCCAGAAATCCACCCAGAAACATGAACTGTGGACATTGGTGCAAATACAAAGCTCACAACACCCGGGTGCGGTCTTGAACTCCACCATGTGGGAGCGGGGGTTGTCAGAGGCCGGCAAGCAGGGATCAAGGGCCTCATTAAAGCCACATCTCTATTCCAGGAAGAGAGGCTTGAGTAGGGGCTCAGCCTATTATCCATTGGTCCTTGGTCACTTTCCATTATGCCACAGCCAAAGCAAATAGGAAGCACCTACCGTATGCAGGCACCTCCCAGGTCCCGGGCACTGCCTCAGCCAATGAGAGTCAGTGAATCGAGTGAGGGCTGGCCGCAGGTGGTGGAGTGGGGTTTAATGAGGTTTTCCTATCCCAAAGCCCACACTGTAGGAAGTACATTTAGGGCCATGGGATGCACAGTCTCCCCTCTCCCCCCACTCGGCAGACCTGTGTCCATTCCTACCTGCGTAAGTCTGCTGGGCCTCTCACCTGGTTGGCATCATGGCAGAAGCCCCTCCTCAGCTGAAGCAGGGCCAGCCGCACCAGCACAGGGGCTGCCTGGGGCCTCCTGGACAAGGCAATCAGTAGGGATTTGTGAGCATCATCCAGGCGGCCCAAGAGGTACAGGGCGTCGGCCACCAGGAGGCAGGAAGTCTCATCCTGTGCATCCAGCTCCATCAGCAGCATGGCCAGCTGGTACACACCATAGGCATCCCTACAGAGCAGGTGGGTCAGTGTGGGGCAGGTTTTTCCATACATCTCCTACATTGCTCAAGAGGTCAGGCCTCAGGTGAACCTGGTCCCCATCTATGATTGTAGCCTAGGTAGCATCTTTCCTAATGAGCTGCAGAGGTAGGGCCACTGCCTCAGTTTCCTTTCTTATAAATACAAGAATTGAAGTTTTGGCTTTGCTGGGTTCACCATAAAGAAGCACAGCAGCCATGGCAGGGCAGGGGAAGCTCATGGGTAGGTGTGGGGTGTGGACTGACAGTGGTGGATGAAGGCTAGGCAGCTGGAGTTACACCCATCAGGCCACAGGGAGTCACATGAGTCTGGAAGGGTGGGGTGGGTAGTACCTGAAGTCAAAGGCCCTTCCTTGGAGCTGCCTACCGAGCCAGAGCTACACCTTGTCCCCCTTTTGAGACAAGGTGTTGTGGAGACGGTGTCACAAATATGTTTAGAAACAAAGGGAAACTTAAAACTCAACATCAACAGAATTTAAGAGGAGGGATCCAAGCTGCATCTTCAGCAAAAACTCCATATTTTGAGGCATTTCGTGTGCACAATAAGAAATAATTATAATGACACATCGCAGGGGACTAGTGTTCAAGGGTTTCATCCTTTCCCTTTAAAAAGGGAATATTTGGGGCTGGAGTGATGGCTCAATGGTTAAGAGCACTGGCTGTTTCCCTAGAGGACTAGGATTCAATTACCAGCACACACATGATAACCACAACTGTAATTCCAGCTCCAAGATCTGATGCTCTTTTGCTGGCACTGCATACATGCGGTACACATACATACAGGCAAAAAAAAAAAAAAATCACAAAATAAAATGAAACACGCGCGCGTGCATGCGTGCACGTGCGAGTGTGTATGTGTATGAAAACGAGTGCAGGTCCTTTTGGAGGCCAGAGGCGCCGGATCTCCTGAAGCTGGAGTAACAGGCTGTTGTGAGTTACCTCATGCATGTTGCTGGGACCTGAACTCAGGATCTTACTAGCACTTGTCAACTGTTAAGCTATCTCTGCAGCTCCCTGACCTTTTTGGTTTTTGTTTTTTGTTTGTTTGCTTTTTGTGATTTTTTTTTGAGACAAGGTCTCACTTTGTAGCCCAGGATGGCCTGGAACTCAACAGCTCAGGTGGTCCTCATGGCGACCCTCCTGTATCATTCTCCCAAGGGCTTGGGTTGCAGAATGAGCCTCCACGCCCAGGGTATTCTTTACAGTAAGAGGAAGAACCCACAAAGTACCACTATCTGAGACCCAGGATCCTGACATCTCCTCCCTGGCTCCAGTTTCTTACCCATCCTTGCTTAGGGAAACCACCCAGACTATCCTAGCACAGTTTTCTATCAGACATCCCTCTCTAGTTTCCCCCACTTCCAGTGTGGGACAGGCTCTCACCCCTCCTGCGCCTGTGCAGTGGGGCTGGCTCCCTGAGCATCTTTCCTCACACAGCCGGGTGAGCGTAACAGCATCCTGCGGCCCTCTTCCCGCAGCACGGTCAGCAGCAGCCCTCGCTGGTTCCAGGGCACGTAGGCTTTGGCGACTAGCAGCGCCTCCTCCGGCCTCAGCCGGCAGGCGGTGACATAGTCCAGCGCGCCCAGGAAGGCGCTGCCTTCCAGCACCCGCAGCAGCCCTCGGCCGCACAGTGCGCGCACGCAGCCTTCCGCATGCGGTGCCCCGCGCTCCACCACCGCCTGGAAGTCCTTGCGGGCACGCCGCGCATCGCTCGCGTGCAGAGCGCAGAAGCCGCGCAGCGCTAGCAGCGGCGCCAAGTCTCCAGTTCGGTCCTCTATGCTCTCCCCAAGACGCCTGGGCCGCAGGAGGCGCTCACACTGCGCGCGAGCCCCAGCCACGTCCCCGGCCAGCAGCAGGCACTCGGCCAGGCGGATCCCTAGCGCGCGTCGCCTTCGGGCGGGAGCCACGCGGAGCAGGACGTGGAGCGCGTGGGTCACAGGAATCAACAGCTCGCGGTCTGCGTCCTCTCTCAGCTCCGGGCGGCTTCGCACAGCCTTCAGGAAGCTGGAGAATCCCACGAACGCGGCCTCCTGCGCCTCAGCTTGCACGCGTTCGCGGTCCTTGGCGCTCAGCAGGGCCTGAAAGTGCCTTCGTGCTCTGGCAGGACTCTCACGGAAGGCCTCGTGTAGGTCCAGGAGCATGTCCCCGGCTCGGCCATCCAGGAAGGAGGCCGCGGCTGCGCGGGTGACCAGCAGGGCCACCAGGTGCTCACCTGGGGAGAGAAACAGGTGTTGCTCTGCTTTCCTAAAGCTCTTTCTGTCAGATCAGGGCCTCTCCCCCAAGTCTGCTGGTAACCAAGGGCTCTAGAATCACAAAGACGACCTCCATCCCGTGGCACCCATGAGTGATGCTTCAGCATCTGTACCAGCACCATAGCGGGCAGCTCCCGGTGCCACCCAGCACTGTTTGCCCAGAGTGGCTCTGGGTAGGCATCACCGCTCAGTTCCGATCAAAATTTGTTTACATTTCTTTCTGCCCTTACTTCTAGCAATGGGTTTTAGTTTCCTTTTTAGGGATGTAGCCTCGCCGGGCCCACTCTGTAAAACTGGGGTTCTGATCCTGACTTTGTAGGGTCGCCAGTCCTGGAATCTTTGCATCCTGCCTTCTTGGGACCCAATGCTTCTCTGCAGGAAACAGAGATAGCAGAGGGCCTAGGAAAGAAAGGCTCAGCAACGGAAGCTCTTACTGGAGAGTAGGTGGATCTCAGTCACTGCCTGAATCTCATGGCTTCGGTTCCTTTCGCATTTTAGGATGGGAACCCAATAAAACGACAAACAACCAGTTTGCACAGATGACCAAGAAACCCATCACCAACAGGGTCCTCTGTCCAGTCCTGGTGACAGAAGCCAGAGGTGTAAATAAAAGGTTGTGAGCAGAAGACAGGTCGTCCCTGGAAGCAGCAGGGGGCTCCCTGTAGCTGCTGACATCACATCCGTATCTCCTTCCAAGAATACAACCACACACACTTTAGATTTCTTAACTGTCCCACAGGCCACCAAGGCTCTATTTATCTTCCTTATGTTCTTCATGTCAGATAATCTCCATTTTATTTTAAATTTTGCTGACTCTTCTCCCATCTCTATGGTGCTGTTTTTTGTTTGTTTTGTTTTAATTTTTCCAGACAGGGTTTCTCCATGTAATAGCCCAGGCTGTCCTGGAACTCACTTTGTAGATCAGGCTGGCCTTGAACTCATAGAGATCTGCCTGCCTCTGCCTCCCAAATGCTAGGATTAAAGGCATGTGCCACCACCACCCAGCTTGATCTTTTCATTATTATTTCACTCCTCAATTAATTCCCATCTTTTTCGGGTGGTACTGGGTAGCAAACTCAGGTTTGTGTACATGTCAGGTAAGCACATCAGGACTGAGTTATACCCCAACTAGTATTTTTTAGATTGTACCCCAGACATTTGAGCAATGTTTTGTAAAACTCTCCATTTAGTTATGCACCTCAGGTGAGGGCTGAGTTTTGTTTTAGTAACTACTTAAGTTGCCTGGACTCAAACTTTAAATTCTGTCTCTTGTCTTCAGAGCCACATTCTCTTCTTAGTTCCTGAAGCTCCCACTTGACGCTTTCTTCACATAGATGACCTTATGTGTGTTCAATTCAACAGCTGGGTTTAACATTCAGATTTTGGACCCCATCCCTCCTGTCCCCTCCTCAGGACTTTCTGTCCAGAATTCCTCCTGAGTGGATACAATTGCAGAGATACTAGAGGATAAACCTTCAAGCTGCACCTTCGCCTCCCGTGGCCCCAGCTTCCTGCCTCCAGGCAGTCACCATCCGACACCTTCAAATACTTGCTTTTGATATTTTATCCAAAATAGGTAGTTGTTACCCGTGGGACAGGTGCCCTGACTGGTCAGTTCAGCTTCCTCTCAGTCACCCACCTTCCTAGTGTCCTCCCTCCAGCCTTCCGCCTTCCTAGCATCTTCTCCTTCAGCTTCCTCCTGACACCTCGGGACTTCCCAGTCTCCCAACCTCCTCCCAGCCTTCCAGGTCCCAGCAAGTCTGGCCTGCCTCTGGCTCCCGAATCACAGGCCATATACAATAGCAGAAGAAGCATCAGTTTGAAAAAACCTCCTGTCTGTTACCACCTCCTCCTCTTCCAGCCTCCCTGACTGTTTGGTGGCAAAGGCATTTCACATTCTTTCTTCCCTAGGGGTTTGGCACACGGCATATGACGCATAGACTGTTTCAGTCTCAGCCTGAGAAGCCCTCCCGGAGTAACAGCCAGATTTGTGCCTTGCATTTCCTAAGGCAAGAATCTTGTTTGCTCCTTTTTGGGTTCTCTGTCCCCAGCCCCAGCCCTCCTCATCCCAGCCCCAGCTCCGGTCCCGCCATAGGCTGGTTTTAGCTGTGGCTGGAGTGACAGTTGCCATGGCTCTTGGGAATGTGACTTGTGAGTCACTCCCTTACCTTGGGGTCTGTTCCCCGTTGAGTCAGGTTGCAGGTCCCGGCTGCACGCTGCCAAGCAATCTTCAAATCTACCTCTACGGAGCAGAGCTTTAGGTGACATGGCATCCACCCAGCTGCCCCTAGGGTCCAGGGCCTCCAGGAGCTCCAGGCAGTTGGTCTCCTGTGGGGTGGGGCTCCCTGTGGCCTTCAGGTGTCCTGAGAGGTGGTTCTGGAGGGAGCCGAGCAGCGTGGGGAGGTAGGGCTGCTGGTGGGTGTGGATGAAGGCCACTGTCCGGTCTGCACTGGATGCAAAGGCCTGAAGATAGGCAGTTATGCCCTCGCTGGCCTGGTCCACGGACAGGACCCAGGCCAGGGCACGGGTCAGCTGCAGCTCCAGGGTCTGTTGCGAGTGTGCATCCAGCAGGGCACTGCAGCGCTGTGCCACATCGGAGTAGTGCCCATGGGCTAGCAGGCCAGCTAAGAGGTACAGAACCGTGGCAGGGTGGTCTGGGTAAATGGCCCCAAGGAAGGCAGAGGCCAGTGGCCCGGTCAGGGAGACCACCGCCATGCCATCCCAGTGGATATCGGGGATCTGACTGTCCCCACGACACCAGGCCTCCAGTGTGGCCACCACAGGTGCCCCTGGGGCCTCAGCCAGGACAGCCCTCACGTGCCGTATGGCTGAAGGGCCATGACAACTGAAGGCAGCCAGGTAGAAGGCTGTGGCTAAGGGCAGCTCCCTCAGGGCCAAGTGATTGTCCCCCTCCTGGCAGAGGCAGGCCACGAGCTCCTGAGCTGACATCACGCTCTCAGTCCCCACTGGGCCAAACTCGGTCTTCATGAGTACCTGCAGGAGGGGAATTGTAGTTAGTGTTCAAGGTGTCATGTCAAGTGTCAAGCCTGGCCTCAGAGCAACCTCCCAGCTCCTGCCAGTGAGAACTCGTGCAGACCCTGCTGGGTAGAAACTTGGACCTCGCCACTAAGGAGACATTTTTGGAACCCTAGCTGGTCATGGGTTCTTCTGCTGGGGCTCACTTCTTATCTCCTTTGTCCAGTGGGATGGGACCCTGCCTATCAGGTTAGCCTCAGAGACCCTTGGTATCCATGTTGAGGAAGCAGCTCAGTGCTTATCGGATCAGGGGCCTGAGCAGACTCTGGGACACCTAGCTCCATCAATCAGGAAAGCCAATGACCAGAGTGTCTCAGAGCTCCAACCCTGCACTACACTCTCACCAACCTGCTCATGCCTGGGTGATGCAGGCTGAGGGCTATGGCCAAGAGGTGCTTGCCGGGTCTAGAGCTGGGTAGGGAGCACCACCAGACAACCCACAGTCTGCTCTGAGGTAAGGCTCCCCGACTGACCCTGGCCTCTGACCCCAGGAACTATTCTTGGCCTTTCTTTTCCTGGTCCCTGACATGCCTTCCCTGCCACACATGTTCAACACTTACAAGCTGAACCATCCGGGTCTGGGGATGGAAAGGCTCGGATGACTCAAATTCCTTATTAGGTTAGGACCAGGGGTGGTGGGTGCAGCGGCTGGTCAGCCCGGGGTGCTCTGGGCCCTTTTAGACAGTGGCCCAACCCGGCAGACACAGAGGCAGGTGAGGCCAATCTCCAGTTTCCAGGGAGCCTGTCAACATCCCATCCCGAAGCCGCCTAGCTGCTCAGTTATGCCCTCTAGTGGTCAGACATGCTCAAGCTGAGTATCTGCTGTCCTAGCCCTGGCAGTGATAAGGAGAGGTGAGGGCAAGGAAAGTAGGCAAGGCAAGAACCTAAGTCTGGGAGGATGAGGCATACAGCCTCTGGGTTCTGGGTGAAGCTGCCCGGTGACTTGTTCAAGTCCCTGCCCAGCGCATTCAGGCTTCGTCCCTGAACCTGGGAACTCAGCCGTGGTGGTTCTGATGGTGTGAGCCTCACATCACCCCATTCCTACTCCTCTCTCTGCAGGCCCTGTCCACTTCGGTGTCCTGTGGGTCTTCTCACTTGCCCCAAGTCCCTGGCCTCACTGCCTGCTCTTTGGACTGGGCAAATAGCCTAGGATGCATTTCTGTGCCCACAACCTGTCCCTGCAGTTGCCCTGGCTCTGGCAGCCCTGCTGATTTCCTCCTTGTTGGGAATGTGGCCATGTTGAAACTGATGAGTGGAACATAGCATTCAGTTTTAAAGAGGGAGTAGAGGCTGGTCCAGATTTAGTCGTCTGCCCTGTGTAACCAGCCTCATGTGACTGCGTGCTTTGGGCAGCCCCTTCCAACTCACCACACCAGGGTGTCCAGGTACGGGACAGAACTGGCTCCTCTGGGGGCTCTGGGAGCTGGATTCAAGGTTGTTGGTTAGTGGAGTCCTCTGATGTCCTCTTCAGAGGCTAGCTTCCTGGGATGTGTCCTACATTCCTCTGAGGAGGGAGCTGTGATGTGGGAGGGCCTGGGCTGAGGTCTGAGAATGCAGGGCAGGCACAGTCAGCAAGGCCCATCTCCCTGCATGGCCTCCTCCCTGCATGGCCCATCTCCCTGCATGACCAGTCTCCCTGCATGGCCAGTCTCCTCCCTGCATGGCCCATCTCCTTGCATGGCCAGCCTTCTCTCCAGTTCCTTGACATTCACAAAGGCACAGACTCATGCAATCAACAGTGGCAAGGGCTTATTAAGAAATTTCCTATTATGTTACTTTGATTACTTTCATTTTAATTACCCTAATTAGGCGAGCTCTGTAATGGAGTGGGCTGTCCTGTGGGGCTGTTGGAAGGGCCTGGGGCACAGAGGGGCACTGACTATGGCAATCACATTAGGCCTGATCTGTCCCCTGTGTCCTGCCTGGGTGTATGGAGCCTGAGGGCCTGCAGGCACTGGCCAGATGGGCCATCTTCTGGTTGGGATTGAGCTGCAACAGCAGCTCCCATTTGAGGGCAGCATGCCTTGGGTGCTGAAACCTACCTGCCCACGCTATCTTCTCTATTGTGTTTTCCATTTCTGATATCCTGGTACACAGACACAGGCTGCTGGACCTGGGTGGAGAGGCCGAGGCCTGCAGTTCCAGAATCTGGACATGGGGGTCCAAAGGGTTTCTGCTGTGTCTGACTCAGATCTAGCTGGCGGTGACCAGAATTCTGGCCCTGTGCACTACATGGGTCCTGCTGTCCTACACACCCACTTTGTTGGGGATTCAGTCAGCCCTGCCCCACCGCGATAGCCCTTAGATACCCAATGAGAATAGTTGCACAAGAGGTACACTGATCACCTGACCACTCCCCTGTGCCGATGGCGTTGGTTTTGTGGTTGTGGTCGGCCCCCTGGGAAAGAGGGGAAGAGGCATTGCGGCCCCCAAGGCTTCCTGTGCGAGGTCTAAGCAGGGCCTTGGGGTGCCCTGCATTGGGACGGGCCCTGGGCTGGTGACCGGATCTTCTTAGATGAGCAGGGGACAGTGGAGAAGTTGAGAAAATTGAAGCTGACCTGTGGGGTGCTGGTCTAGTAAATGCAAGCTACTGTTCAGGGACCATGCTCCCAGAGCCTGGGGGGGGCGCTTTCTCAGCTCTCCAGCGGAGGGGCTGGGGGTGACTGTTACCATGGGAAGTCTTTGTGGATCCTCTTCCCAGACCAACCCCAGGTCAGGTGCTCTCCCAACAGGGCTGGATTTGAAAGATCTGGTCCATGTTGTCCCAGAATTCAGACATCTCACCCAAAGTGGGCAGAGGCGACTTGTCCCTCAGATACCGATGTGTCCCTGATAGCTAGGTTCAACCCCAGGGGGGCTGAGGAAATGTGCCCTCTTCCAGGTGGGGGTCTGAGCCCTCCTGACACTGAGAGCTGCTGGTGGTGCTGGACTCAGAGTAGAGGCCATAGCATAACTCAGAGATGAGTTGGTCAGCCTTGTTTGCCCATCCTAGGCCCCCAAGGGGGTCTGAGCTTCCCTTTGCCACTGACATGGCCTCCTTGAGGGCTTCCCCGGGCACCTTATCCACCTGCTCCCTCCCCTTTCTGTTCCCTCACAGGTGCTCACCTAAAGGGCTCATTGTGTCTGCACCCAGGATCCCCCAAAGGGCAATCTCAGCCTCTCGGGGGTGCTTCTCACTCCCCACTGGCCTAAGAGCCTGCTACAGCACGGGCGGATTCTATGAGCTTGGCTCCTACCCATACCCACCAGGGCCACCTGCGTTCCAAGCATCCAGATTGCTCTGCCAGGCTGTGTAAGCTATCCCGAGCGCCCCTAGTCACCAGAGAGTGGGATCCGCTCCCCAGCCAGGGTTCTACGTGACTTCACTCAGTAGAGAACCCTCCAGGCTTCAGAAGATTAACCCGGGGCAATCTGGGAGTTACCTAATGGAGCTCCGGCTTGTCTTCTCTGTTGACAGCGAGCAGGAATTGCAAGCAAATGAGAGGCTCCGCTCTTCACTCCTCTCCTTTCTCTTCATCAGTCTAGATCCTACCTTAGTTGAGCTTGGTTCTTGGCAGACGACACGCCCAATCCACACCTGCCAGGGAGCTGGCTCCTCTTGTCCCCTGCGGCTCTTGTTCCGTTCTAGGATGAATAATGCAGTAGGATGTTGTGTTTGTTCCCCCTTTCCAGCCCTCTGCCCACCTGCTGCTTCTGGCTGCTTCAGTCTCCTATGGGTGGGGAGCCACTCCTGTGCCCAGGAGGCTGGCGAAACCACGGGCTGGGCGGCTGAGTAGGGAAGGAGTTACAGAGTCTATCTATGTCCTGGGCATTTGTAGGGGCTGCTCATTTGGGGCTTCCAAGCTCCCTTGGCAGACAGCTCAGCTACAGACAGGGTTGTGTTGGAGGAGGGGAAGCCATGGCTGGTTTGGTCAGTGAGGACCCATTCTTCCCAATGAGAGCTGGGTTCTGAGGCCAGGTGGTGGGCCTGGGCCCTAAAGGCGAGACTTGGCTCAGAAGGGTCCTGCTTGGAGCCTTGGGTTTCTGGCCACAGGAGCTGGACTAGAGGGAGGCGACCTCCTCAGATACGCCTTCCATGCAGCTCCTCTGTGCCCACCCACATTGCCTTGTTGCCATCAAAGCATAACACATGTTTGGTCATCTCCCATCTCACTGCCTGCATGCATGCAGCCCATCTGTACCATGTCTGAAGCACAGCTCACAAAGCCCACTCAGACCCCAGGCTAGGGATCTGCCTTGCCTCTTCCCACCCATTTCCGCACCTGAGTTACTCAGGTCACTCACAGTGGCCCCTCGTTGGGCCAGACCCCACCTTGTCCCCTGTAAGCCTGGCCCTACTCTAGGGCCTCTATATCCCTTCCCCCTCCCAATATCCACTGGCTCTCCCGACTTCCTTTCGGTCTGGGCTCAGTCGTCCCCACTTGGACAGACCCTCTTACATGAAACAGCTTCCCTGCCCTCTGCCACCATCACCATTAGCTTTGTGCTCCCTTAGGCATTATTGGCTTCCTTGCTGGGATTCCAACTACCCTACTGATATCAGGGCTGGGTTACCATCACCTAGCAGGTGCCTGGCAGGCAGCTAGAAGGGGAATTAGTGAGGGAGAGAAGGTAGGAAGAGGGAAGGGAGGAAGGAAGAGACAGGAAGGAAGGAAGAGACAGGAAGGAAGGGGAAGGGAAGGGAGGGAGGGAGGGAGAGAAGATAGGAAGAAGGAAGGAAGGAAGAGACAGGAAGGAAGAGACAGGAAGGAAGAGACAGGAAGGAAGGAAGAGACAGGAAGGAAGGAAGAGACAGGAAGGAAGGAAGGAAGAGACAGGAAGGAAGGAAGGGGAAGGGAAGGGAGAGAGGGAGGGAGGGACAGAAGGTAGGAAGAAGGAAGGGAGGAAGGAAGGGACAGGAAGGGAAAGGAAGGGAAGGGAGGGAGGGACAGGCCAAAGAAGTTCCATCTAAG